TTAATTATTGGAACACATCAACTTATGTTACCCTTTTAACGTATAAAAGTAACCCTTTTCATGCATAAAAGTAACCCTTTTCATGCATAAAAGTGACCCTTTTCATGCATAAAAGTTATCATTTCTATCCACTAAATCAACCTTTTCTTTGGCAATAGTTACCCTTTCTGTTAATAAAAGTTAACCCTTTTATCAATAAAAGTTACCCTTTCCATGCATAAAAGTTACACTATCTACCCACAAAAGTATACCTTATCATGTATAAACTTATTATTTCTACCCACAAAAGTAACCATTTTTATCCTTTCTATCCACTAAATCAACCTTTTCTTTTCTAATAGTTACCCTTTCTGTTAATAAAAGTTACCCTTTTTATCACTAAAAGTTATTTTTTTCATGCATAAAACCCCTGACCCTTTTATTTTACAGAAAAAAGTGTCCCTTTTCATGAATAGAAGTGACCCTTTTTCTACATAAAAGTGACCCTTTTCATTGCTAAAATTACCATTTCTAACAATAAAATCTACCTTTTTCTTGCTTAAAAGTTACCCTTTCTATAAATAAAAGTTACCCTTTCTATAAATAAAAGTTACCCTTTTCTGCATAAAAGTTACCCCATAAAAAACATAAAAATAAACCTTTTAATTACTTTATGTATTCACATACATCAGTATTCCAAAAACAACTAAAGACTTTAAACTAAGTTTAATTACATCATTAAACTTAATGTATGCACATACATTAAGTTTTTTCATTGTTAAAAAAAACCCCCTGAACTAATCAGCTAACAATTATCAATTATTTCACTATTTAAAAGGAGTAAACTTTTTTGCCTGCTTTTTTGCCCTTTTTCCTTTGTTCTTTTCCTCTTCTCCCTCTGCCTTTGCTTCTGCTTCTGCTGCCATTTTTCTTTCTTCTGTTTCTCTCTTCTTCTTTGCAGCAATTGCAGCCTTTAACCTTTCCAATTCCATTGACATAAGCAGGATCTTTCTTTTTCTCATTGAACTTGTGTAATTCTAACAACACATCGTTCCTAGATTCATTCAAATCACACAGTACTAGTGTGGTACAGATCTCTCCTCGTAAAAATTTCCTTCCATTAATCTCAAATCAGCAAAAAAAATAAAAAATTATCAATATGTAATTAATAAAAGCAATAGAAAGGAAAAAACTACAGAAACTATATAGATAATTATTGTTTTGAGATCATTGAATTTGAACGATTCACCAACAAAATGGAGCATGTGATACATGAAAAAGACCCCACAGTCCAAATTGTCAACTTTTTCTTTTCTCCATTCCAACTCAACAACTTCAAAACCATAAGAAGGTAGCTGAGAACTCTTTGGATGATTTCTTTTGCCAAGAAAAGCACCCATTTGAACACACTGACATAAAATATAAAAGTTTAGAATACATTAAAATCAAAAAAGTTAAAATGGAAACAATGAATCAACAGTAACATAACAAAAAAAACAAACATAAACATACCATCTTTGAACACAATTCTTTTGTATAAACAAGAGCAGAATCAGTCCAGATAATATTGTCAAGATAATATACCAACTCTTTTGTATGATTAATAACATACAAAATGTAGTGATTCTCAATAAGAACAGGAAAATAGATCTGAAACAGCAAAATTAAAGAGATTTAAACAGAGCATATCATAAAGAGAACTCTTTTAAATTTATTACATTAAGTTTAGAATAAAAATACCAGATCAGCATCCATTATATTACATTCTGGATTCTCATAGCTAACCTAACCTTCCCATATGTCGTGCAAATTCTTAACAGCACTAGATATGTTACCTTTGCCAATATTGTCACAAACATGCAAGAATGAAAACTATTAAAGTATAAGATCTCAATAATATATACATAAAGTAAATGTGTTAAGATATAAAAAAAGGAATGAAATAACTTACACTCTGCCTAACACCGAAGAAGAATTTCCGAGGACTAGTAGCCTGAAAACATGCTTTCTCATTCAAATACAGACAGAAGCAATCAATAACGCACCATTGAATCCTGAGTGGAGCAACAAGGGACACCATGTCTTCTCTTGGAATTAAAAATTTCATTCCAAAAGTAACAAGGCTCTCACTGAAACAATAAAAAATAAGATTAACATTAAAAAAAAAATATAAGAAAAAAAACAGATAAAAAAATAATTATAATAAAAAACGACACTTAACTTCTTATCCATTGAAACATCCTTCAACAAACAATAATTGAGAATTTCCAAATGTAACTGAGGCAAATTCTTGAAAATCCGAGCATTGCTCTTTACAAAAAGAGTTACAAAAGGCACCTGCACACCTACATGTCCACGGTCCAGAGAGCATAGAGATTTATTTGCTCTGAGTCGAGGAGGTTCATTTTGATCAATATGCCCGACAGGAATATTTTGAGTAGGACCAGGAATGATAGCAGAAGGTCCAGAACCATTAAGGCCTTCATTAACTATTTTTCCATGACCATTGTCATCATCCTTAGGAATATTTTCATTGAAATCTTGTGCAGGTTCTTTTTCAGGAACAAAATCTTTGTTACCTTCTGTAGGTTCATAAAAACTGCGAAACATATCATGTACAGACTTCATTTTATTACACTCATCAATTAAACCATCTAAAATCTTCAAATAATGAGGATCAGAGAGTAGCAGTTGAGTTTGAGAAACTGAAACAAAATCATCAGAAGATAATGAAACACTTCTGCGAGAAGTAATCAGATCATTCAAGGTTTGAAAACCAGTTGACTGAACAAATAATAAAACATCCATATTTCTTTTAAACAAAAGAAACGTTTCATGAACAACCTACAAACATATGAACAATGAAAAAAAAATGTTACAAATAAAAATAATAAAATAAGTAGGAAATCTAAATATATGCTAAAAGTGACCCTTTTAAATGCATAAACTGACCCTTTTAAATGAAAAAAGTTACCCTTTTAACTTAATATTGAAGATAACTTTAATGCAACTAAAGGGTAACTTCGGTGCAAATAAAGGGTAACTTCGGTACACAAAAAGGGTAACTTTTGTACACAAAAGGGTAACTATTGTACACAAAACGGTAATTTTTGTACACAAAAAAGGGTAACTTTTGTACACAAAAAGGGTAACTTTTGTACACAAAAAGGATAACTTTTGTAAACAAAAAGCAATAATAACTAAACATATAAGAAAACAGAACACTTACATCAGTTGAAATTTTTTTAATTTCTTCATCGGTCATAATACCTTCTAAAAGCTCAAATGCAACAATGCGACCATTGGTACCACTTGTAGAAGGACCCTTATCATAACCCAAAGTAGGAGCTGGCTTAAAAACAGTTCCCCTAAAATTAAGCTGTGACACAGGATATGTAATAGTATCCAATGGTCCCTGCCCATAACCACCAGCTTTGATCTCTAACTTAATTCGCTTCTTAATCTTTACATCCGTCCAATGTTAAATTAAAGGAAGAGTACTACTTTCCTTTTCACCTTGAAAATTTAGACGATGAAAATACATAATTTGCAAAGCCAGCAAACAACCACTAACATTTTGAGCATTTTCATCATCCTTATATTTCTGAACAGCCTTCTTTAACTTTTTTAAAACATATGAACACCAATCAAAAGTTTTAATTTCATCAACTTTTTCAACAGCTTTCAGCAACTTCAATGAAACAGTCCTATTAGTAGTAGGAGCTAAAAAGCTAGACATAGCTTGAAGAACAAAACACCTCTTAAATTCTTCCCCTCCATCAACCAAATCAACCATCCTAGACTCCAATTTTGACAAATGAAGAGGTTGCTTACCAGAAAGACCATAATCAGATCTCCATGCCTGAATGATACGTTTATCTACACTTTCATCTTCAGAATTTTTATTAAGTTCAGGAACACAAATATCACTCAAAGGCAAGCAAAACACATCGCATATATCATTTCTAGTAACAACAAATTCTTTACCAGTAGCGATGGTAAACATGCAGCTACCAGCATTGAAGTTTTCAACAAGCCAAGGTAGCATTTGACGATTAAGAGTTTTCAATTTAAGATGTAATAAACCTCCAAAACCAATTTCTTCAACAACCTGTTTTTGCTCAGGACTAAAGTTCTGCAGCAATATTTCCAATGAATAGGGTCTACATCTTGCAATGATTCTTCTTTGCTCCCTAAATAGAAAAAAAAAAAGAAAGAAAATGTAACTAAAACAATATAAAATAAAAACAAAATATAATTAAAAATGTAATAAAAAAATATGTATACTTACATAACAGATTCAGAATCAGATTCAAAAAGCATTTCATAATCAGAATCTTCCACTGTATTAGCTTTCTTAGGTACAATTTTGGCCTTCTTAGGAACTATTTTGGCCTTCTCAGACTCTGGTTTGTCACTCTCAGGAATTTTCCCAGCCTTTTTAGATACTGCTTTGCTCTTCTCAGGAGCTATCTGGGTCTTTTTTGGTACTGGTTTAGGCTTAGCAGGCTCTTTAGGCTTTCCTTTTCCTTTTGTAGGCTTTTTATAACGATAACCACCTATTGAACCACCTGTATTTAATTATTAAAGTAATATAAATACAAATTCAGAAATTACTCATGGAAAAATATAGAATAATGTGCACAAATGACACTTTTAAATGCATAAAGTGACCCTTTTAACAGCACAAAGTAACCCTTTTAACAGCACAAAGTGACCCTTTTAACATCACAAAGTGACCCTTTTAACAGTATAAAGTGACCCTTTTAACAGCATAAAGTGACCCTTTTAACAGCATAAAGTGACCCTTTTATATGCAAAAAGTGACCCTTTTAACTGAAAAAGTTATTCATTTAACAACATACACTGACTCTTTTCACAGCATAAAGTGACCCTTTTAACATCACAAAGTGACCCTTTTAACATCACAAAGTGACCCTTTTAACAGCATAAAGTGACCCTTTTGTATGCATAAAGTGACCCTTTTATATGCAAAAAGTGACCCTTTTTTTGCAAAAAGTGACCCTTTTAACTGAAAAAGTTAATCATTTAACAACATATAGTGACTCTTTTAACAGCATAAAGTCACCCTTTTAACATCATAAAGTGAACATTGTCAAAACATATAAATGACACACATGTCTATTACTCAAACACAATGAGCAATGCATATATGCATGTTAATCAAACACAGATGCACAAACACAATGCGAATATGCCTATTATACACATAATCTAACTAAAACGTAAAACCTAAACAAATAATCAGTTTAATTAGCATTCTCTGACTAAAACCTAACATACAAAATTTGAAGAATAATAAGCAAAATTTTGAATCAATTATATACAATGAACAATAAAATAAAGCAAAATTAAACATAATAACTTCATAATTCAAATTCAATTATCATAATATGCATAAAAAATCAACTGAAAACTATAAAAAATAACATGCACTAGTAATTCGACATATATAAGCGAAATTTCAATTGAAAAATTTGAAAAAATGATGAAAAATTTAAGTAAACACACCTTCTTCAGCATCTACAACCTTCTTTGTAATCTTCTTCTTCACCATTGCAGAATCAACACTACGAAAATCGAAAACAAAATCAAAATCAAAAAACCTAAAAATCGAAGAATCAAAACAGTTTAAACTAACAAAAATCTCAAAAAAATAAGTAAATGAACCTGAATTAAGCAAATAACAACTTCACCAGTGAAAAAGAAGAAAGAAAAAGCTCGAAAATCAACAATGGAGGACAGAGAAAACGCTCGAAATCGCCAGTTACTTGCTTTTTAGAGAGAGAAAAACGAAGAGAGAGAAAGCTATAGTGAATGAATGAAGAGAGAAAAGTTCTATTTCTTTCTTTATTTTGGCAATCATTAAGAAGCACGTACCAAACCCACTAAATTAGCAGTTGATGCTTGTCCAAAAATTCCGCCATTCATTAAATTAATGAACACCGGTTTTTTTTAAAAAATTGTGAAACTACTATCTTCTTTTTTCCTTCATTAGATCTGAGTTCTTAACATAGATTCACGGAGTCATGGCCTAGAGTTTGAATTCAGATCCTCTTTCTTCTTGCGTTTAATCTAACACAGTAATTTATATATCATGGCGAAAATTATTGTCTTTATATCAAATCTGATGGTTTGCATTGAAATTCGATTAGCGATAGCCATTGCTCTTGTTCTCCTCACAGGTTACATTTTTACATGAATCTTTGTTAATTTTCCACTCTTAATAGATATAAATTGCTTCTTTCATTTTTTGTTTGATTTTAATTGATACTTGCAAGTTGCAATTATTCAATTTTACTCGTTTTCAAACCCTAGGTTATAGATCTTGTTGAATTTCTATTTTTACAATTAATCTCTTAGTTTCTAGATATTTTCTTACACATTAGTGATTTATTGGATTGCTAATTTCATTTTTTTGGATCTATTTCTTTACTACATGTAAAACTTGACATTGATTTTGTTACACCATTCTTTCAGAGTTATTGGTTGGACGAAAGCAGAGTTTGGACCTCGAACAGAAGAAAAAGAAGGGGTTTTTTAAACCAAAGATCACCTTCTCATTATATTCCATGAAAATGGTTGGCAGTAGAATCGCCGAGTCTCTAACAGCAAGGGCGAATATTACTGAATAAATGTATTTTTTTTATTTGCAGTTTATAAAATTGATATGATTTTTTTTTTTTCTTTTTTGTTGCTTTGATGTGATTTGTTATGGGTGATTTCTCAACTTATAAGGCTATAAGCTGAGATGAATTCATTTTTCTAGGTAAGAAGAGTTCTTGATGTTATTTGTTTTTTTCAATTACATTTCAAATATAGAGTTAGTTTCTAAAATACTCAGCTTCATAATTTTAATTTTATTGATTTGCATTAATTTTGTTCAAATATTTCTTTTGTTTTAACCGAATCAACAGTTCATATAGCAGTTACCTCTGTTGTTGTGGTGCCTAGTTCACAAAACATGCCTTTTGTGCATAATAATTGAATAAGTGGCCTCAGTTCTTTACCACTAGTTTGTAAGTTTAATTTGTTCGGTAGAAATGTTCTCATGAAAGACCAATTTGCAACTACATACTAACAACCAATTAATAAGCTCAGAGAGATTATCTTTGCAGACATACACACCATAATTAAATAAGGCTCCCTTTTTTCAGTCCGTTGATGTTGTGTATGTGTCTATGATATGTGTGCAGCATGACGCTGTCATTCTCAAGTGTATATATATTGCATATCATGATTTGTTGACAACGATTGGTTATGACTTAAGAATCAGGAGGGGGGAATAATTAAGATCTTGCTTTTCTAAATAATCTATTTCCTCAAAAGTTATCGATGCTTGACATTAATGAACTTTTATGTCTGTTTTTTCAAATAATCTTTTGCTGCTAGGTGGATACAGATCAAGTAACAATGCTTGACAAGGTTCTCAATCTGAAGGATATTCGTCAAAAACAACTGTAATAGACTTTCTGGAGTAATTTATTACAGTTAGGAGATGAATTTGTTTTGATTTGTCTTTCAATTATGAATATATCTTTTTATTACTGTAGATTTTTGTTGGAGGGCTTGATCCTAGTGTCACAAACGAGGATCTTAGGCAACCTTTCTCCCAATATGGGGAGACATTTTATGTTAAAATTCATGTTGGGAAAGGATGCGGATTTGTGCAATTTGCAAACAGGTGAGGCTTATACCATGCTCTGAAACAAAATTTGATGATCTGAACTCTCATTAGATTGCTTACATTATAACTGTGGATTGTATCACCTGCAGAGGTCATGCTTAAGAGGCTTTGAATAAGCTGAACGGGTCAGTTATAGGAAAGTAAATTGTCCGTCTTTCATGGGGCCGCAACCCTACAAACAAACAGGTATATTTTTTCTCCTGTCTCTGTTTATTTCTTTTTTTATTTCAGGTTTTTGTAATTCTATTTTCTGCCTTGAACTGTGATTCTATGCTTAATAAAAATTCACTTTCATGGATGGCAGTCAAGAGGTGATTATGGAAATCTGTGGAATGGAGGCTACTACAGAGGACACATATATGATGGTGGTTACAGATACGTACTACACCCAAGCATGTATGCAGCAGTGGCAACAGCTTACGGAGCCTACCTTGTGTACGGCAATCAGCAACACGTAAGCTGATGACCAAGACACGAAAATAAGAAGTAGCGCGCATGAGGATAAGCCTCAAGATTATCGATAAGCGATTCGTATCGCACTACCTAGGCATATTGTTTCATTCTTTGTAGTGTGAGCTTGTTGTGTAGAAATATTTATGAACCCCTCCCCCTCCTAATGTGGAATGGAACTGAATTTTGATAATTCCCAAGGTAGTTTTTCATACTAAGTTGCTTTTTTTTTTTTTTTTTCCTATTATTCATATTAGACATTCATTGAGGACAAGTTAAGAATGATATGGGGAACTTTCTCCTTAGAATATATGATGCTTGCATATCATTATATGTTTGTTGGCTACTATACTACTGGTCTATTGCAATTTACAGCTGTTTGATGTTGTTGCAGCTGTAGATTTGTATGAGGTTTTTTTAACTTGGTGTCAAAGATTAAAAATTGTTCAGCGCAACCCTGATGGATCGTTTGATGCTGAATTAGAGATTGGTTTTAAATTTCTGGTTGAGAGTTACATTTCACATGTGGTTTAAGACAAGCCAAAGTTTATTAAGGTACGATTTTCATTGCATCAAACATCAATATATTCATAATCTTGTCTAATTTTGTTATTGTTGAGTAATTGACAGTGAAAATGCAATTGTACATGGGTTGAGTATCTTATTTATTTGATACAAATGAAGCCAAAGTAGAACATAATTTAAAACCTCCTATAGAAAGCTAAACCCATGTGTTCCCTCTTTCAATAATTGACTGACTTTGGAATTAAGTGTTATTGGCTAGCTTAGATTCAAAATTTACTCGGGTTGTGACTTTTCATATTAGTAAGTTTAGAACTGAAATTCTAAAGTCAGTGAAAGGTCATTTGGAACTGAAATTCAAAATGCTTGTGTGTGTGTGTGAAATTCAGAGCTTGTGTGTGTGTGTGTGTGTGTGTGTGTGTGTGAAAGTCAAAGCTTGTGTGTGTGTGTATGTGAAAGTCAGAGCTTGTGTGTGTGTGTGTGTAATAATAATAATCTGCCTAAGGTTCTCTGCTTGTCTTCCCTACTCCCCTGCTGCTTGTCTAACCTACTCCCCTGCTGCTTGTCTAACCTACTCCCCTGCTGCTTGTCTGCCCTGCTCATTTATAAAATTACTCATAAAGCTCTCAAAAACGAGTAGGTCATAGAACAAACAAAATGGGACTGAGGGAGTATTTGCTGTATTTACAAATGTTAACTGAGTTTGTAACTCATTTAGATCTCCATTTCTTTTATGCTCTTGGCTGCACATCAAGATACTAGTCATACAACACAGTCAACACACATACACCCAATTTAAGATTGACATTTATAGTACTGAACTGCTGACTTGCTCACCTGAGCTAAAAGGAAAGTATATTACTTTGTTTTATGTTGTTCCACGGTTTGTAGCTTTATGTTTAATTCTGGTCTGTAACTTGTTCCTTGTAAGAGTGTCCAATCATCTTGTCTGTCATCTTGTGAATATCTTGGTGTCTGAAATTTCTAATATTGATGGGTAAAGAATTATAATTCACTTTAAATTAAGAGCCTTTAAAGAGTTTCAAGTTGCCTAGATTTTATTTTGCGATAAAACATTTTTTTATAGCAATGGATTGATAGCTTGAATAGACCTGTAATGTGACCGTATTTCTCATCAAGTGTTATTGGTTAAGTAGTTGTGTATTGTTTAGTGCTCTCTTTTTTATGCTCATAAAACTTTTTTTTTATGACCTGTAATGTGACCTGCTTGTCTGCCTTGCTCATTTATAAAATTACTCCCATTTTTACTGATCTATACAAAACCAGGAGGGCCAGTCTGAGTGTTATCAGGGTCTGTTGTGGCTAACAAGTCCTCAATCCCCACAAATGATGACATTCAAATTTCTAGAACAATAGTATACAACTTTTTTTTTGACAGAAAACGGGAGCCAAATATATTAAGCAAGAAGCAAGATATCAGTGTTTACATCCTATAAGGCCCTCATAGGGAGTTCCTCAATCCAAACCCTCATTACATCATAATCTTTACTAATATGAGCTAAATTATGAGCAACCTTGTTTCCCTGTATACCAACATGAGAATAGCTGATGTAAGTGCAAAGGTTTGCAAGAGATAGAATGTCATTGACAATTAGTCCAAAAGCCGAATTTTCACAGTAGATGCTGTACAAATGTTTGTATAGATTCATCGAGTCAGTCTCCAAGGTAATCCTGTTTAGGCCAACCTCGATTGCAATAGAGAGACCATGCCTGGCTGCCAAAGCCTCCCGAACATTTACCTTATAGCAGCCTTTAATGCACCAGCAAGTAGCAGCCATAACCTCACCCACTTAGTCACGAATCACCCCACCCAAACCAGTCATATCATCATTGGCAAAACGAGCAACATCAGAATTTAGCTTATAGAAACCAACAGAAGGGGCTTTACATTTGTTGCTTACTAAAGAACTCGAATGCACAGGAGTAGAGCTTGCATTATTGGTTTTCTCAATAGTATACAACTTAAGACTCTTCTATTTCACAATAACTCTCTTAAGCTTTCTAATGGACAACAAGAAAGCTTAAAAAATTATAGGCCTACTTTACAGATTTATATATGTGCATTGTTCATAATTAATTGCCTAGATTAAAGTATAATGTCCTTGTTATTGTCTCAAATCGATTATGAATCTTGAGCCTATATTGTGTAATGTACTAATTTATACTTAGTATTTTTTTTTGAAGATTGGAAAAGGCAATGAAGGTGCAACAAGAGAATAGGCCGGGACACTTGAGCATCAAAACAAACGACTATATCGTCTATTAGGCCATCATCTATGTATTTTGGTTTTTAGTCTTATATTAGTGATGTATTTATTTAGGGACAAGCTACTATATATAATATGCGACATTTTTTTTTTATTAATTGTGTTGATGTTTTCTTTTTATACATTTGGTAATTAATTAACTACGTGCTCTTATTATATATTGTTGATTAATTATTGTTTTATTTTTATTTTTTTAAATCTAGTTATATAGAATATTTATTTACTTTAATTTTTATGTTATTAATTTAATTTATGATAAATTTAAATGTGTAAAATGTATGTATGATGTTAATAATTTAATAAAAGGAAAAAAAAACTTAATAAAAATTCTAGACGCTGTTTAATGTCTACATATTTACACATTTTCAAATTCCAAAGAGTTTTCCGCCATACCATAGGCTGACACGAACAAACGCAAGACAACAAAAAGCGTCGCTAAAAAACTACACACATTTGGGATAATGCGCGAAATACATAATTTGCGACGCTTTGTATATTAGTTAGGACACAAAAAAGCGTTGATATTCTCGACGCTTTTCTTGTGTCCTTGAAAATTTTTGACTCACATATTTTCGACGCTTTTTAGCAGCGTCGAGAAATAATTTAAAGTCGATAAAAGGCCTAAAAAGCGTCCAGAAAACACGCTTTTTGTAGTAGTGATAGTTAACATGTTTGCTCGCAGGTGTTGCATATAAGACAAGCTTCAAAAAAAGATGGACGCTGCGAACTACCGAGCTGCGAAGTTTAAAGCTACCTTGACTAAAGGAGACATGAGCATTCCTCCTCTTCCCCTAGTATATTTTTTATCGTTACGATCTGATTTCTCCTCCATCCATTACTTGCTTCTTTTACTAACTTGCATGATTATGTGACTTTTCATTTCATAACCCGAAGAGCGATGGCTGAAGGCTCTTTGCAGGCTACGACCGTTAAGATGGACCATCCAAGCTTCCCCGGCTACTCTCAACATACCTAGGGCTTTGAAGCTGAAGGAAGTTGGCCCCCAGAAAAGCGCCCTTGTGTTGAAAGCGAGGATGAAGAGAATAATGAAGAGGAGGAAGATGGTGAGAACCCCGAGTTCTTATTCCCGAAGGCCTTCTTGACTTATTTCAAGGGAGAGCACATGTTTATGGTCGAGGATATGATGGCCCACTTTGTGACTACTTATGACGAGCATGAAGTTAGGGTGGATCCGGAGAAAGTCGTTACTGGTGCCTTTGGTGATTACCTAAAGGTAATTTTCTTGTACTATTATATCTTGTGTTTGCTTCTCCTTTTCTTGGGCATTTTGTGTTAATCCTTCATTTTTGGTTTAAGCTGGCGTGACTATGGCAGTCCAAATTGAAAAATACTAGAGGAATCCTCAGTATGGTGTTCAAAAACTCCAGTTTGAGCTTTTGGAGGCTTGCAATGAGATTCACAAGCTGAAAGAAGACCTCTGGTTGGCCTGGGAGGCTTTGGACAAGGCCAAGAAGGACATGGTTGCTGCTCCAACAAGGAGAAGGAGAAAGCGGTCAACCGGCTTAAGAGGAGGATCACCGAGCTGACAAAGGTGAAGAATGAGTTGGTTGAGGCTATGTCTAAGGTGGATAGCCTTACTTAGGAGGCCCAAGGGCAATTTCAGGATGTGGTGATTGATGCATGGAAAGAGACTCAAGCCGTTCAGGATCTTAAGGCCGAGTTGGGGTGTGGGACTTTCGAGGCTGGGGTTGCTGATGTTCAGACTCATATGGAGAAGGCCTTTGCTGCCTTCAGGCTTCAAGAGTCTTATTCTCGGGTACGTGATAAGATAGGTGCTCTAATCGTGGAGGATGAGGCGGAGGCATAGAGGAAGGTCTTAGCTGAGTAGGGTCTGTAGAATGAGACCAATGAGTAATTACTTTAGCTTAGCTTTTGTATTTAACTTGCGTAAGTTATTTTCTTAGGTTGTACTTAAACTTGTAGCACTTTGTTTTTGATTTGATGAACCACTTAACTGTTGACTTAACTTTATTGATGTACTGAAATTTCCTGTTTTTTCTTCGTCTTTCTCTTGTTGAGTTCTTGCATATAACTTGATGATTTCTCATGAATTGTTGAACTCTAGGGGCTAAAACGCCCCGAGTACTTTACTTATTGACTTCAGTATGCCATTCTTGCTCTTTCGAAGGAGTTGTGGGCTAAACGAGCCCCATGTTATCGATTTATGAAAAATGGGGGGGGGTGCTTTAGTTTTTATCTCGCATTTTTAGTACACGCCGAGGGGCTAAACGAGCCCTCAGTTAGTTATAGATATTAGAGTAATAGACTATTCAATAATAAAGATACATTAGGGGCTAAAACGAGCCCCAAGTTAAGAGTTGCATGAGAGCTAGGGAATCCAACTCTTGAAATAAGTTGAGGGCTCAACGAGCCCTAAGTTATTGAGAGTTTGAGAGCTGAGCTTGCCTATCCCTTGGGGTAGGCTGAGGGCTAAATGAGCCACAAGTTATGTGTAACGACTTGGCCAGGACTCTATCTTAAATGTTTAAGCATAGGTTAGCATCTTTCCCTAAACATTGGAACAAACTCGTTATGCTAACTCAGCGAACCAGAATGCCCTATGTCGGGCATGTAGTGCTGTTAAATGTTTGTCGGCTATGCTATTAAGCGATATAATAGACAAAAAATAAATTTCAAGCAAGAAAATAATAAAGAATACAAAACAGAGGAGGCAAACATCCCATCTGAGGGGGAGCTTTTCATTATATTAACATAAAGAAAAAATATTACAATGATGCACTATAAAAAATTAATCTCCTCGCATCAGCTCTTACTGCCCCTAGGGCATCATTGTAAGGGATTGACATGCCTAGACATAAAATCTTTATAGGTTGTCCGCATTCCATGGTCTGGGAGGTCCTTGCCATTAGGAGTCTGTAAGCGAAAGGTCCCCGGGCGAATTACCTGTTTGATCTTATAAGGCCCTTCCTAATTTGGGCTCAACTTTCCCAATGTGATGGGCTTGCTAGCAGCTTCGCATTTTCTGAGCACCCAATCTTCCTGAGCTAGGGGTTTAGCCTTGACTCTATTGTTGTAATAACAAGTTATTCTTTTCTTGTATGCTATGGAGCGAGGCAAGGCATTTCCTCTTATTTCTAGGAGTAGGTCTAAGGCCAAGGGTTCAATTCATCATTTTGGGCGTAGTCATTGAAGGTGACCTGAGGAGATGGGATTCTGACTACCATTGGGAGCACAACATTACTTCCATACACTAAGGCTAAAGGAGTTTGCCCCGTAGCCTTATTGGTAGTGGTACGAATGGACCACAAAATACCAGGCAAGTCATCCACCCAAGAGCCTTCCGTACCCTCTAGCATTGTTTTTACCCCCTTCAAGATTGTTTTTTTTGCTGCTTCGGATTGCCCATTTTTTTGGGGTCAGCATACAATCAAGAACCTAGTTTGAATTCCAAAACGGCCACAATATTCTTTAGTCGGTGTAGGGAATATTTCTAGAATCCCACACTTGAGCCCCATTGTAATCATAAACTTAAGTATGGTGACGTCCAAAGGGAAGGAAGCTAGAGCAAAAGAGTCGCCAAAAAGTTTTAGGAACTTGTAAACCGTTCACAAGGTGAAGGTTACACCCCTTCACGATCCATGAGATTGTTAACTCCATAGTGGTCCTGAACCATGACTGGATATTCGATATTCGAAGATGAAGGAACAAATCCAACCTAAAAGAGATTGAACCTGCCCTAAAAATAGGCCTCTACTTTACTCTTCTCCTATTCATGTGTGATTTCTGACTAACATACAATCATTATATTAATCCTAAATCTGTTTAATCTATGTTGGTTGAATATTAATGCATAAACAAATCTATTACTGGCGATCACTTGAAGTAAAATAATATTAACCTAAATTATCTTATTAATTGTGATTCAAGTATAAATTCCCTTTAAAGCTGCAAGAGAGTGCTTGATCAAGCTTTAACAATAATAATATCAAGCAACATAATATTATTGATATAACAATCATCATCTTCATAACAATCTCATCAAAGCATAATAATATTAGCAAGATCCTTGGCATGATACTAACATGGTTAATAACAAATCCTAGCATGTCACTACAAAATAAAAATCAAAGCTTTAGCCTTAGCATGATACTAACATGATAGAAGAAATAGGAAGCAACCTAAGCATGATACTAGAAGCATACATGATATTAGAAATATTAGTTAATACCCTTAACATGATACTAGGAATCATAAAGACATTCTAACATGATACTAGGAATTAAAATAATCTAAGCATACTTTCTAAAGATACAACAATAAAACTACTTACTTTGTTGCCTCGTACCTCTTTCTATCAAAACAATACACACATTAGTTACTTCAATGAAAATATTAAAAAATAAATCTAATTAAAGAATTGAAATAATATTTGGGACCAAACCCTCAAAAAATATCAATCTTTCATGTCTAAGGAAAAGGCAAATCGGAGCTTGGCTATGTGTGTCTAAGTCTCGTGAATGCGGTATTGTGTTTGTAAAAAGGCTAGACAAAAGAGAGAGAAATAATAAGCTATTAGCTTTGAGAGAGAAGAGAACAAAATTATATTATTGTTGATAATTGAAAACGGGGAATAAGGACCCTATTTACAGAGAAAATAGTCCTGAAACGATCAGAAAAAGATCGAATTCGATTCGGAGTAAAACTACTTCCATCGCGGCGCAGCACGATGAGATTGTTTTTTGCGGATTTTGGTTTTATCATTTCTTTTGATCCAAAAGTTGAAATAAGTCATATAATATGTTGTTGGAATGCTCTTGAATTATACTTTCCATCCCAGTTAGAATTAGATTAAAATATTTTGTAGAATAAAGAATATGGTCGAAATAGTGGAAGGGTGTTAGTTTTGGATAGAGTTTCGTATTTCTATCATATCTTCTTCGTTATAGCTCGACATTAATATTATAATATATCATTGGAAAGACAATCTCAAGATATATCCAACCATATAAGATTTGGTTAAAAATTATGAGGCAAAAAAATATTATATGACTATCTTTGAACGTTTTTCATTTTGAATTAGGACTTAAAAAAAGGAAAGTTTTATTCAATTTT